AAATATCTGCACATATGGCTGTTTTATAGTTTTCTTTTTAAATGATCATTTTAATTTAATTAGGTTTTGGGGGTTAAGATTAACAACATTTTCTCTCTCTCTCTCTCTCTCTCTGTACATTTTTGTTTGTTTTTTGGGGTTTTTTGTTTTGTTAAGGAACAACCAAAACAAAACCTATCTAACATGCGCCACCTTTGACTTTCATTTTGCCCAGCTCTCACACCATCATTACTAGCGCAAAAATCTGTCTGTAACATCCTCATCACTGAGGTATCTGAGTGCCTTACAAGAAATGATAGCAACTGCATTATAACTTCTGAAAAACTGTAATGTGGATTCAATGGCAGAAATTGGCAAATTCCCATCAGTTTATTCACACAGAACAGGCATATAGAAATAACAAACACTCTTACTGGAGATGAGCCTGAGTTGGTTAATTCAGATCTGGGTTGAGATTTGGAAATCCCTTATCTCAAAATTTGGGGTTGGTCAAATTCTTGTCCTGGGCATTGTCCAAAATCTTACTCTGGTTTGGCCCACTATAGAGATGGGCCCCAATCTTGAATATCAGATCATGGTTTGTGTCTGGTTTGCTAAACCTCTTGATCCTCCAATGTTCAGGGGTATGTGGATTTGGGGGCTCTGGTGTACATTACCCTTTAACTAAAACACTGTGGGCTTTTCATATGATTTCATGACAACTGAAGAAAAATATTTCTATGGCTCCCGTTAAAATAAAAAAGTTAGTAAAGTAGAAAGTGTATGTCCTTCTGTTGCTGGTTAGTAGCTCCATTGAATGGTGTATATACTGACATTCTGAGACAGAGATATGCATCTCTAGAGAGAGGGGAAAAAATCCACCAATTACTCAATTAGTGGATTTATTTTCCAGGAGGCACTGGAAAGAGAAGGAGAGAGAGAGCCCAAGGCATCCTCACCCTACTTCAAAAGACGAAGGGAGTGAAGGGGGGAGGACAAAAGCACTTGATAGTTATGAAGAAATAGTATTAGAACCAAGTAAAATTAAAACAATGCCCTGACTCTTTCCTTCAGTCAAAAGACAAACAGTGCTACATACTAAAGGGGGAAAATGGGGGCAGAATTCTTTTAGAAAATAGCATCAATCGCGTTTGGATTTTGCAAAACCAAAACCAGCAATGATTTGGAGCCAAGTCCTCCGAAGACCAGAAGACTATGTGTGCTTCAGAGAAAGGGATTCCAATTTGGCCATTTTCTATTATTGGTCACACAAACAGTTCAAAGCCATATGGATGCCAAGTGTGAGCATTCATGGGTGGAGGGGAATGGACAAAAATAGAGAAGGACTTTGGATTGCAGGTTGAGTAAAAATCAACCTATAATATTTTTTTGTGAAGAATTAAATAAAGTGGAGGAAAATCTTACCTGACCCTATATGAAAATGAAATGAATGAAAATTTCATAACAAGGCTGCAGTTAAATTGTAGCACCCTTTGTCACACAGCACCATTAAAAATGGAATTTGACATATATAAACATCATCAAAGCAATATACCAGATCAGAAGATCCCCAAACTCTGGGAAAGATTGCAAATCTAGATCTGCATCCAAAATGTATGTCTGGTTCTAGCAAACAAGAAATGGAAAGAGAAATCTGAAAAAAACCCAAACCAATGAATCCTAGTCACATTCTCTGGATTCTTCCACTCTGGCAAGTAATAAACTTTCTATCACAAACAACGGAAAGAGTTGCCAGTAATCTCTCCCTCTCTTTCTCTCACTGCATGATCACAGCTATATTATGTGTCAGGTACTCTCGTTGTAGTTTACATTGATACCTTTCTCAGGTCTAGTGGACTGATCCTCCCCTTACCTATTCTGGTGTGTGCGAGGAATCAGGCCCAGTGTGTTTTCTGTTTGTTACGCATCATTTTGTTATGAAGAGTAAATGTAAGACGTAGCAAAAATGGAATGAGGTTTAGTAACATGGTAGTGACAAACTGAAATTGCAAGGAGCTCTCTATGTCTATGAGAAGTGAGGTTAGAGCGATCTGAACTCTCGGATTTCTCCTCCACCCCCTCATCCCATCTGTCATGTGAATTACAGTTCTCCTAACTGCTTAGTAGTTGAATACCTTCTACCCATTGTCCAATTTCATCAAAGAGGATCCTTTCTCCTCATGACCCCTATTTACAACTATATTCATTGTTACATACTCTCCAATATATAGGTTTACATGCACAGAGTACAATTAACACCTTTATGTATATAACATGTAACCTGCCCTGGCTCAGACTTGAACCAGCGATACAAAATGATTGGACAAAAAAACACAGAAGAAATGCAACATGATGCTCCAAAATTTTTACTTCATTCACATTTTCTGTAACCTCCTTTTCATGATCAAATTTCTGATGTACCTTACTTATGCTGGCTAAGCCCAGGTCTCAGTAAAATGAGATAAATCTGAGAATAGAATAAGAGATCCCTTGTATTGACAGAAAATTGATCAGAATAACCACACAGAGAAACATAATATACAACACATATATCTTCACTCAGTCCTAAACAAGCAAGCTCTCAGATCTGTGACAGTCAGCCAGCGGCACCAGAGTCCTCTGGAGCCCAGAGCCATCAGCAGCACTTTGGTATAGTACTGTCAAAAAGGCCATAAATGAGTGTGCTTTTAATCACAGGGTGATTATACAGGGGGAGATCTGCAGAGTCCTCTCAAGTACCTCTCCATTGAGATCATTTTTAAAAGAATTCCTTCATGCACAGTATGCCAACTCTCCCGCATAAAGTCTATGTCCCCAAAATATATTATTGCTTGGCTGTGACAAAAAATATATCAACTTCTAATATCTCTTTTTCTTCTTGGTAAGCATGCAAACAGCTCTTTCAAATGCTTTAATGAACCTAATCTTCATTATGTACAGCACACAAAAGCAACTAATTCTCACCATTTATTGACCATGTTGTCACACAAGCGACCCGTTTCCGTTCCTTCCATTACTGATATAACTTCTGGAATAAGAGGGAGTTGGAGGGAGGAAGGGACAAGCAAAGTTTTATGTGCAGTCAGAGTGGGAGAGAAAAATAGTATTGTACAGACATTATCTGTAGTGTAATAGCCAGGACGAGTGACATATAGATTCAGTGCTCTTTGTGGTGTACTCAAGAAGTAGCTAAACAGTCACTGTGAAGAGTTACAAGTAATGATCCTTTTGAAAGGGGCATTTTACAGTTCCCTACAGACTATACTAAAAACACAGTTGCAGAATTATTCACAGAAAACTGAACAAGTAAAATAAAAAAGAATTATATTACACTCTACACATTTTAACTCCCTTTGGGCATATTATACTTTGGGCAGGGAAGAAAAGGATAAAAGGAGGATCTGCTTCTTCTCAGCACAAAAAGGAGACAGGGGAGTTGATCCTGTCTCCTCAGCCTATCAGAGTTTTACAGAAATGGCTAAAGGAATATACAAAGAAACACTATCAACACTTCCAATTTGCTATTCATGATGCCCAGCCCATCCTCCCCACCTTTCCAGTATTAATCAGCTTATCTCCCTCTTTGACTGTCTCTATTGAACTTGCTTTGTTCATTGATTGATCTCTTTTCTTTATTTTGACCTGATAAGACCTAGGCCTAGTTCTGCTCTCAAATTTCCCGATCACGACCCTTTTAACATGATGTGCCTTTAACTGGTGCCTTCATTAACTCATTCGTCCTAGTCAGGTTCAGAGGGTCTCTTTCCAGCACCCCCAATCACACAGATGTTAGAGCAGCAAGCAGACGCTTACGAATAAAACACCACCACCAACATACAAACATACACTTTTCTCCTGACTGTGCCTGGTTTTAACCTCAAGTTCCCACTGAAGTTCATTTCTCTCCTTAAGCTTTCGGTTCTGCAGTCCAAAGGAACGGATGCAAACAACAGCTCAAAGGGTATGCTGAGTTTCAGCGTGAAATGGAAGTGTGGGCAAAGGCGTGCGGCAGCAGAGCCTTCCTTACAGAGGTGGAGGATTATTTTATTTGTTTAAACGAACTTGTCAGGTCGATGACCCAGGAAATGACTATGATTAAACAAATCACGATACCTGTTTACCCGAGCTACCCATCAGGGACACTAGCTGCGGCAATACACACATCACACAGCGGTCGCTCAAAGGGAAGGCACAAGAGTAAGGGGACGGTGGCAAGGAGGTGCGAGTGCCCAGGTTGGTATGGGAAGTGCAGACCAGCTCCGGGCTGCCCTCCTCAGCCTGGTGTCCTCCGCTACCCGGCCCACCGCTCCCTTTTGCCACTGGTGACAGCCTACCACCCAGGATTGCGGAGCCCAGATGTCCCCTTATTGGAGACCCATCTTGGGTCTGTCTCCTTCTCCATCTTCCCAAGATCCGGCAAAGCCTTTTCAGCAAGGGAAGGGGGAGAGAGGGGTGCGATCAGAACCTCCCCAGCTCCAGCAGGACTTCGGACTTTTCACTCACACGTAAGCTGCAGGGTTCCACTACATGTGGATCCCAGCCTCCCCGTCTCTCTGCTCCGGGAGTGGGAGAATCCGAGCGTCCAGACAGCCAATTCCCCTGACCCCATTGCCGTTCAAGTTACTCTGCAGCACGGACAGGGAGGATGCATGTGTGCAGAGGAATGTATTACACACACAGAGAGAGGAATCATCACAAATATGCACGATGTGCCTAAATACACACAGATGCAGAGAACACGCATATTAGAGCAGTGTCAGCTCCTTATCTCTCCCCCCCCCCCCCGAGAAAGCTTCCCCTGGTCATTTCAGTTAGTTGGATGCATTGCGGGAAAAATAAATAATTTCGGTCTTCTCTGTCCCTTTTTGTATAGATCTGCGAATCTCGATAGATAGATAGATATCCCGGATAGCTGGGGAAGTGGGAATCCAGGTGCACAGTCACTAGCTCAGGAGGAGTTGAGGGAGGCGAGGCTGGGTGGCTGGCTGAACACCCCCCCCCCCCCCCCGCGAGTGGCTTACCTTGCGCTGCGGAGCCCGTGCTGCTGGCGCTCAGGATAGCCAGGGCAGGTAACACGAACGTTTGCAGTAAGTATCCCAGTCCCAGTCCGCATCGGGCAGCCGTGCTTTCCAGACCTTTCCCCATGGCTGGTCAGAGGAGCAAGCCAAGGAGGAAAACAACCACCAGCAGCAGCAGCAGTCCTCGGGAAAAAGCAAGCCCCGCACTCCACTTTCTTTGGGCAAGGGGGGAGTGGGGGAGGAAGGGAAGGAGAGGGGAGCAGCTTTTCAAGAGCCTCTCCCTTCTTCAAGTGGCTGCTTCTTCTGCCACTCGTCCGGTCTGGGGAGCCCAAAGGCTGCCACCAACGTGCCCCGAGTCTGCGCTGCTTTCACAGCCCCCCCGGCTTTGCCACCGCACCCAGGCACAGGAGGAGAGGTGAGGAGAGGAGCCCTTTTCTCCCCCCCGGTCTGCTCAAGGTTGCGCGGCGGCGGTCAGGTGCCCAGGCTGCTGCTGCTGCTCGGTGAAGAGGACTGGTCATTTCACAGTCCTGAGAACAAGTCTGCGGGAGCTGGGTCTTGCAGAGGAGGAAGAAGCGGCAGCAGCGGCAGCAGCATCCTAACTCCGGCTGGGGGGGTGCGCGGATTTGCATATGCGACAGAGAGCGCGCGCAAACTGGCGCCGAGAGAGCTGCACGCGCACCTAGCCCCGTGCCCGGGGGAGCCAGGGACAGAGCGCGCTTGCCCCTCTCTCCCGCCTGTGACTGTTACACCGGAGAGCGCAGCCCTGGCTAAGGCACATTGCTCCATCCAATGGAGCTCAGCCTTCCCAGAGACACTGGCAAAACCTGCGCTGGAGTCCCGGACTGGACCGCTGTTGCCCAGCCTGCCCGCCCAGGAGGCGGGAGAAAGGGCTCCTTTGCCAGCCTGCCGGATGAAAACTGCAGAAGAAGAGCCAGGAGCAACCACTGAGGGGGAGAGGCTCCCCCACCCCACCCCTGCAGACCCCACCCGCCCATCTGGGGAATGCAGCAAGGAGACCGATTGCTCTGTCATGCACCCCTCACCCTGCTAGCCGGGTACCCTAAATATCAGGAAGCGAAACATTGTTCTGCCTCCAGCCAGGGCACCCCCATCCCGCAGCCTGAGATTCCCACAATCAGTCAGTGACCTTCCGTTTTATTACAAGAATTGTACCCGGGCCCCACAAAGTGCTTCGGTGTGTCACCGGCGCTGCGTACGCGTTACGCTGCGGCCGAGGAACGACCCGAGCTCCCGCGGTCCGATGCCGGTCAGTGAGGAGCTACGGGGCTCTGCACACTGAAGCGCCCGTCCAGGAGCTCCACGGTACAGGGCAGAGACACCAGCCCCCGTCTCAGGGGCAGACTCACAAAACGTAGGGAGGAGGCGGCCCCATACAGGTGACCCCCCCACCAGGTGGCAAGAGAAAAGTTATGGGGGACCCGAGACGTGGACCGGGACGGCTGTTGAGGGCAGCTGAGCTCGAGGGAAGGGGTCAGATTTGTCACCTCCTTGGGAATTTTGGGTCATCCCGCAAACAGATCTGGCTCCCACCCACCCCTCCCACTTGACAAGGGGATGACATCCCCAGGCAGGGCTCTTTCCCTTCTCCACAGGGCAAGGGGCAGCCTCTCCCTCTCTCCACCAGCGAATCTGTCTTCTTTTCCACCCCATGATGTGGGCTGGGAGATTTGCCTCTCTCCTTCCCCCCCACCCAAGCATGAAGATGAGCTCCAGGAATATGGGCGGGGGGCGGGGGAGGAGAGGGAAGCTGACATTCAGATTTAAACTGTTTTGTGGGGAGCAACATTTCATCCAAATGTTAGGAGGCCTGAATAGGAATATCATCCAAATCCCAATATTGGCCTCAGCCATCCTGCCTTTTTTTTTTTTTTTTTAACCATAAGGAGTTAGGCGGAAACTCACTTAGTTGGGGAGCTCTGTTTCTCATACACACTCCTCTCTGTGTTCGACCTCTTAAATCTCACTCATTAGGGGGAAGTTTCCCACATTTTGAATTCATTTGCTAGGAAATAGTGCTTTAAAACCTTTTTTGAGTATGCAGAAGTACAGCAGAATGCTCAGGCCAGCTAGGAGATACTGATCTATTACAATTGGCTACTGATGGTAACGTCTGCAAAATCCCTAGAGGAAACACTCCTGACTGCTGCCACCACATTGTGGGAGAGCTCTTACAAGCAAAGATGGTATTCCCAAAGGCATTTCCTTTTCCAGGGCTCAGCAGGCCACTTACCTTGGGTGAGGTGAGGCGAGGGGGCATGAGAATTATTTTATGCTGAGCTATACTTGCAATATTTCCATATATGAACAAACCCTACACACCATTGCCCTCCACACCCAATGGAAAATATTATTTATTATTTTCACAGGTGTGCACGTTGCTTTACACACAACAAATATCTGCCCCAACTCTAAAGCCTACATAGCACAGCTATGGATGTCAGACAAAAGTGTGGGGAGAAGTTATGGAAAGAACAAGAGTTGCAACAGTGTTGCAGATGAGACCTGCTTTTGTTCTATAAACAAGTCTCGTGGTTTCCCGCTTGAATACTTATGTTGATTATATTGGCTTTTCAGTCTTTTGTAAATTATCCGGTTAATGCATCAACAGAACAGCAACAACAGCAAAGCGATGAAGGGTTGTTGCAACGAAATAGGTGTTGCAATGAAAGAGTCACAATTTCGCGTGATTTGTTCTGAAGTCTGCCTCATTCAAAGTATTGGCCGTCCTGCGTGGAGTAGTGGGGGGCAGGGGGCCACAGATCTGCACCTCTTTTCTCTGCCAAGGCCCTCTTGTCCCATTGCAATAGAGTTGTCACTGGGTTCACAGCTCAATCCTCCAGCACGGATTGTCTGGGTGAAATGAAATCCCTTGGAGCCCAGTCTTTCAGAGGAAGAAAAAGAGCAGCAGCCTAAACTTTGCCCAGGAGAGTGTGACTGTTGTGTCATACGGACATTAATATATACAACTCTAGCGCACACACGGAGCGGTGTGTGTGGAGAGAGACGTGGACAGAGAGAGATTGCGTGGGGCTGTTTGCCCCTCTCTCCTCTGCCCTCTGCGAGGATCTGACATGCAGGGACGGCGAGGGAAGAAGCCCCTGGCTCAGGCACGCTCTTCTAGCCAATGGGACTCTGCCTTTCCGGAGATACCAGCAAAACCTGCGCTGGATTTCTGGGCAGGAATCGCCTTGCTACGTCCGGTAGAGCAGAGCATCCCCTGCTTTCCTGAGCGGGGGTTTCGGGGAGGGGCAGAAAGGACTCGGCCGAGAGAACTAGGTGAGTCTGGCCGCTGCTCTCCAGAGCGCTGACAGCGGCAGCCAGGAGCTGGTTGCTTCCTTTCTCCGGGGGTGGGGGGAGAATGCAGGCAGAGGGAGAGAACCCCATTTTGGGAGAGGTGAAGAAAGCAGACCCCATGGAAACCCGGCTGGAGGAGTCCCGCTCCTGGAGGTGGGAACGTGGAAAAGGGGAAATGAACGGGACTCTGGCATGGAGGGGAGAAATCCTCTCTGTGGAATCCCCCAGACAAGAGGGAGAGGAGGCCCTCCCAACTATTCAGCCCTGCTCCTGGGTAGATACTGGCAAGTCATGGCTGGGGAGCTTACCCTCTAATGTGGGGGATGAAAAAAGCGACCTAACTCCTCGCTGGTCCCTATCAGTTCTCACCTTCCCTTCCAACAATCTTTTATCACTTCTAGTAGGTCCCCAGATCAACAGGCCCAGCCCAGCAGTACAGGTATCAGAGATTACCCTGCTACATTGCTTTGCAAAGGTACTGCTTTGTAACAATTTACTGTGCTGATGAGTGAATCACAGCAAATAGCCCTATGCCTATTTATGGTGCTTTTTTCCCGCTCTAGACACCAGCCCCAGATTTGGTGCTCCCGAGTCTTGTGACTGAAGCTGGGGCCTGAGTGGGTGGCACATACACAAAGAATTTTCCTACATATGACATTTGTTAGGCATTTTTGTGTAATCTGTTAAAGTTGGGAAGTTTTCTCTCATTTGTTTAATATTCCAGGGGAAACTTTGCAAAGATAGAAAATAAAATGATGTAGTCCATAGAAAATATCTGCTGCAGGGCAAAATGATTGGCACATCCACTATCACGGGGACCCTAAGTCATTGGAAGAAAAAGGGGCACAGTTCTCCAGTAAATGGAGTTCATTTATTTTTGATGATCCAGGGATTCCCATGGTTAATACTTATTTTTTTCAGAGTAACAGCTGTGTTAGTCTGTATTAGCAAAAAGAAAAGGAGTACTTGTGGCACCTTAGAGACTAACCAATTTATTTGAGCATAAGCTTTCGTGAGCTACAGCTCACTTCATCGGATGCATGCTGTGGAAAGTGTAGAAGATCTTTTATACACACAAAGCATGAAAAAATACCTCCCCCAATCCCACTCTCCTGCTGGCAATAGCTTATCTAGTGTGATCACTCTCCTTACAATGTGAATGATAATCAAGTTGGGCCATTTCCAGCCCAAATCCAGGTTTTCTCACCCCCACCCCCCCACACACAAACCCACTCGCCTGCTGGTAATCGCTTATCTAAAGTGACCACTCTCCTTACAATGTGTATGTTAATCAAGGTGGGCCATTTCCAGCACAAATCCAGGGTTTAACAAGAACGTCTGAGGCGGGTGGGGGGTTAGGAAAAAACAAGGGGAAATAGGTTACCTTGCATAATGACTTAGCCACTCCCAGTCTCTATTTTTTGAGGCTCAGTGTGAAGTCCGTGGTTGGTAACCTGACCTCATGAAATAGCTCCATCCCACTTTCAAAGCAGGTATCCCCCCAACTCGGTCTTGGGATTCCCTCTGGCTACAAACCCAGCAGCCTGTCTCAACGAGGGGTGGAAAAGTATGGGAACTTAGCTGCTTCGGAGCCACAACAGGAGTAACTGCACAAGGACAGTTATTCCGAGGCTGGATGTAAAGTAGCTGCTGGACTCTTCTGTATCCCTCCTACCTAACGTGTGTCAGGTAGATGCTAAGCAGGAGATGAGCAAGACCTGAGTAATGCAGCGTGGGATGCAGAGTAGTCACAGTTCTACGGGATACTGACTTACTGACAGGAAATGCTGAGCAAATGGCTTTTCCCTGGGGAGTAGCCCAGCCTGTTCCATTACACGGCAACCCCTTGACAACACATTCTGCTACTGTGTGAAACACAGCGAAGAACTCAAGCTGCTATAACTAGAGCTGTTTATTGGAGAAAATGATTTAAATGACAATTCTCATTGACAGCACTTATATAGAGCTTTTCATCTTAAAAGCACTTTAAAATAATTTTGGATCATATTGTGCCTCATAGGGTGAGTTCTGGGTGCCCTTAAGGAGGTACATTGTGCCCTTGAAATGCATTGTTGCCTCTCCTGTGCACCCAGGCAACTCTGCTGACCTGTGGGTTGAGGCAGGGAGAGAAGTAGTATGTCCTCTCCTCTTTTGGGATGGCATCCATCCCAGGAGGCACTAGTGGGGAGAAATCCTTGCACTCTCCTGATAACAAGGACTGCATTTGTACCTGGTCCTGAACAAGAAGGCCGCTTCCATCCTTCCTCCATCTTGCACATCTATTCAAGAGCCAGCAACAATTTATGCCTCACTTATTCTTACATTTTTCCCTGTGAGAAAGTAAAATATTACTCCAGTTTAATAGATGTGGAAACTCAGACTGGGAAGTGAAGTGGCTTGGCCAAGACCACTGAAGGATTTAGTTTCAGAGGCAGGTTTAGAACTTGGGAGTTGAACAAAAAATTTCATCTGAAACTTTTTAAATAAA